ACTTCCTACCCTCTCCAATTTTCTATCTGCAGACAATATAGGTAAGTTCTTCTTAATAATTTTTTTGATGGCTGTAATAAAAACAAAATTCAACAATTATTTAAGCCTAGTTATAACAAGAAGAATGTCTGTAATAATAGTTTGCTAACCCTTGGGGGACATTGCCATATTGGCAATGTCCCCCATGACTCCTCTCCTGCAACTGCCAAAAATAACCTACTTAAGTTCTCAGTGAATAATTTTTCTAGCAATCTATTTCATTACCTCTACTTATACCCGTTGTGTCACTATAACCCGCTCTAGCATGTAAGCTCATTGAGCAGGACCCTCAACCCCTCTGTTCTTGTGCGTCCATTTGTCTGGTTACAATTACGTGTGTTAGTCCACCCGTTGTACAGCGCTATGGAATTTGCTGGCGCTATATAAATATAATAATAATGCATTTGTCCCCTATTTTATGGTTAAATTGGAAATAGATTCATTTTTTTTAATTATTATTTTTAGATCAACAGTAGCAGAAAAATATTTTTTATTTTGTTTCTCAGGATGCAAAACACCAAGAAGCTGGGAATTTTCTTGTATGTGGAATTATCATATGGACACCATAACCACCTCAGTGACATCATCTTCCTTTATAAAGTATAGGTCTTCCAACTATCCCAAATCCAGCAGGATAGTGATACATGCACCAAGGCGATAGTCAATTGTGTTTTATGTATTATTAGACTACAGGCCTAATGGCAATATAGCCTATCTAGTCTGGACAAAAGTATGTATCTGTTCTGCCTTTGTAGTATATATTAATCATCTTTGAATGGCTTAACAATGGATGAAGGTTGACTCCCCTGGAGATATCTCTAATGCAAATGTCACACTTTTTCCCATACCAATGCGTACCATGAATGGTGGGCTGTGATATGCTGAGAGCGACCATCTGACACTATTAGCTTATCACTCGCACACATCACTGTTAAAGCTAAAGCACAACATTCTTTGGAGCCTCATTCAGTGCTAAACAGTTCAAAATGGTTTGACACTGATCAGAGGCATGTTATCAGGGGATTATTACAACTTCAATGAGATAAAGTGGCTATAGTGCCTAGAGTGTCCCTTTAACCCTTTAAGAACCAAACTTCTGGAATAAAAGGGAATCATGACATGTCACACGTCATGTGTCCTTAAGGGGTTAACCATTTCTTGTACAGTTAAACTTTGAAATACAATTTGACTTGTCATTCAGTTTTTGATTAACAACAGATGCTTTTCCACATCCCATTATTTCCACAGTGACTTTGAAGTCTCCAAATCTCTCTTCTTATACTTCATTGATTGAGAATATCAGAAACCATTTTGTATTATTTGCTTCAATTTTATATAATATCTATTTGGTTCATCTGTGTCTGTCCAAGGTTCTTTATGAGGTAACGTGACACTTGGCGTTGAACTCGTGTTCTGAAATGTTTTAAAATATTTTATAGTCAGTGAACTTAAACAATGTAGCAGGCAGCTTGATAGAGTATATTTCATCGTCTGTTATTTCAAACAATGTACTGGGTAGGTTAACAAGGTAAAAGGTAATTCATTGTTAATTAAACAAAGTCATAATTGGACCTCTGTGCTGTGCCCATGGTATAATCTTTGAAAAAACAAGTATAACTCATGATATGGAAGTCAAACCTAGGTGCTTGTCCAAAATATAATCATGACAATCTTGCTATAATTGCATAATATTGATTATGTGATATTGTTTAAAGAGTATAAAAGAGAAGCCAGATATTATGTTAGTCTAGCAGCCCTTTGCAATCCTCATTCATTGCACTGTGTGGATCAAATAAAAGGTTGCAGAACTTCATTGTCTGGTTCAAGTCTATAATTGTGGAGAATGTGGCCTGAGAGAAGTCTACAAGTCTTGTTTCCTCAAGGCTGCCACAAATGAGTATTTACACCTTTTTAGATTCTGTTAAGAAATGGGACAGGGGAAACCAGAACTCCTTCAAGTGTCCAAAGTACATGGACAGTTTATGGATAAACAGAGACTAGTAATCCACACCTGTCCAACCATTGTAAGTCATGGAAACAACTTGCTGAATTTTCTGGTTGCTAAGGAGTTACTCCTAAGAAGAGGGATAGCACCTGAGTTGAACTTGAAAAGGGATTGTTTCTGAAAAAGATGGCATCAAAAGGAGAAAGGAAAAAAGTATGTAGCTACAGCATGGACGGTATCTGAACAGTGCTCACCTAGGTAAGTCATGGTAGACGGGTGCAGATGTCCCACAGCTACTGTCAACACATCTTTGTTCTGGGTGAGTGGTCTTTGGACACAGTGTCTTGTTTTATGTCAAAATGGCCACAGAAAGGCTTAAGTAAAGGGCAAAGTATTCCAAATACCTGCTCACGGTTGGGTCTGAATCCACTTAAAACATGGAATACCATTTTTGAAACTTTGATAAGTACAATAATATCTATTGATTAAAGATCTTACTCGCATAGCACCAACAGTCAATTGAAAAGTGGAGCTATTGAATATTTAAGGGTTTGCTAGTTAAAGAAACCAATATTGAAATATTTTATTTGCAAAATGACAGTTTGTGGAATCAATGTAAATTGAAGACATTAAAGTCACAAGTGATGAAAGCACAACTAGCTGTTATAACTGAAAAACAATGAGGTGTACTGTCTCCTTCGATAACCCTGTTTGCACCAGTTGGTGTATCAACCACAGGAAATGCAAGTTTAGAAACAGGGAAGGTCATACACTTTCCTATAATTCACACTAATGCTTTTACCAGATATTTTGTTTATACGGCCACCTAATTATCTCACATCTGAATTAGAAAATGTTCAGAGACATTGCGGCAGGTACCTTTCTTGTAGAATCCACCCATAGCCTTCAAAAAGTGCAAAGTCTGTTTAAAAAAAAAAGAGTTCGATAGGAGTCTACATACTATTGCAGTTCCTGCCCATCTCTACCTGCTCTATGTGTTTCTGATTGTTTCTAAGTATACCATACAGAGCTAAACTATTAAGCCAAACTATTCTGTATGTGATTTGATTTCATGATTAATAATTTTTTTGAATGGACTAACTTGTTGTGAAAATGGTATCCAATAATGGGAGTAATTTTCTTTCCCAGGGTGCCAAACTGGTGACAAAAAACAGTTTGTCAAATTTCCTTGTTCGAAAAGGGCATGTAAAATATGTAGCCCTGTAACGCTGAAAATCCAATATGTGTGTGTGTGGGGGGGTTTATTGCACTATTATATACACATATGGATTATGACATTTCCTGTGAAACTGGAATTCATATGTGTGAAAAAACACAAATGAAAGTATAACCACTAAATGTGGCCAGCATTTGTGCTAAAGTGGCTAGACCACACAGTTCTAAACACCCCATTTGGCATACCCTGGGCTGCCTATTTTTGGAAATGGCATGCCATGATGGTGGACATTTTATTTCCCAGGCTATCATGCTGTCTCAAAGGTGCTAAAGACATAGAAAATCAATTTGTCAAATTTCTATGCATGAAGAATGAAATGGGCGCTCACCATCTTTGGCCCTGTAATGTAAATGATTTATCTGACTTAGATTCAGACTACGGATTTACTGAGGATTCAAAACCCTCTACCGAGTTACATACCACAGGCACATCTAACCCTGACTTAAATAAAGGGGATAAAATACTCGACCCACAGGGCGAACCCTTATTTGAGCCTAATGATTTACGCCTCCCCCGCTCAGCGGAATGGTTGCCGGCTGAACATGTGGCACAATATGTGGCATCTCTGGTCCGCAAGCCTCTAGATAAGGCGGCCCAAAATAAGCTAAGGGCAGAATGCCCACGCCCCACTGTACCTGACGAGGCCTGTAAGACCCCCCTAGTTGACCCCAAAATTATCCAGTTCCTAAGCAAAACTGGATGGAAGCCTAAGAAAGGCTTGGATTTTTCCCTATATAACTGCCAAGGTTCTAGATATATCAGGACCAGCAACCAAAATATTTGAAGCTGTGGAAGAATCCTTGGCCCAAGATGAGGCCCTAGACTGACTCATGATTAGAGGCTGGATCCAAAGAATTATATGCCTTATTGGCAATGCTAATACCGCTCTCACCACAGAGCGCCGTAAATCTATCCTATTAAATATAG